AAATCTATTGCATTTCTATACACTAACAATGAGCTATCTGAAAAAAAAAAATAAGAAAATAATCCTATTTACAATAGCATCAAAAAAAAAAATAAAATACTTAGGAAGAAATTTAACCAGAGAGGTGAAAGATCTGTACACTGGTAACTATAAAACATTAGTGAAAGAAATTGAAGACACAAATAAATGGAAATCCATCCTGTGTTCATGGATCAGAAGAATTAATATTGTTAAAATGTCCATATTACACAAAACAATCTACAGATTCAATGCAGTCCCTATAAAAAACCAATGGCATTTTTCTCAGCAATAGAAAAAAACAATCCTAAAACTTATATGGAACCACAAAAGACCTTAAACAGCCAAAGCAATTTTGAGCCAGAACAAAGCTAGAAGTATCACACTTTCTGATTTCAAATTATATTACAAAGCTATTGTAATAAAAACAGTGTAGTACTGGCATAAAAACAGACACATAGATTAATGAAATGGAATAGACAGCCCAGGAATAAACTCACAAATATATGGTCAAAAAATCTTCAATAAAAATTCCAAGACGACAGAATGGTAAAAGGAAAGTCTCTTCAATAAATGGTGCTGGGAAAACTAAACACTCACATGCCAAAGAATGAAATTGGACACTTATCTTACACGATACACAAAAATCAACTCAAAATGGATCAAAGACTTAAAAGTAAGATCTGAAACCTTAAAATTCCTGGAAGAAAACATAAGAAAAAAATCTCTTTGATGTTGACCTTGGCATGATTTTTTTGGATATGACACATAAAGCACAGGCAACAATAAAAACAAAAATAAACAAGTGAGATTACATCAAACTAATCCAAACTAAAAAAGTTTCTGCACAGCAAAGGACACAATCAACAAAACGAAAAGGCAACCTACAGAATGGGAGAAAATATTTGCCAATCATGTATCTCATACGAGGTTAATATCTAAAATATATAAGGAACTCAATATATGTACAACTCAACAGCAGAAAAGCAAACAACTTGATTAGAAAATAGGCGAAGGACCTGAATAGACATTTCTCCAAAGTTGTTGTTAGTGCCAGTGAGTCAATTCTGACTCCTACTGATCCTGTGTACAGGAGAGCGGAATACTGCTCAGTCTTTTCGTGCCATCTTCTCAACTTCCAGTGCTGTATCAGACAATGCTCTGCTGCTATTTATAGGATTTTCATGGCCAATTTTTTGGAAGTGGGTGGCCAGTTCCTTCTTTGTGGTCTGTCTTAGTTTGGAAGCTCTGCTGAAACCTGTCCGCCATGAGTGACCCTGCTGGTATTTGAAATACTAGTGTTATAGCTTTCAGCATCACAGCAACAAGCAGCTGTCACAGTATGACAACCAACAGATGGGTGGTGTGGTTCCCTGACCGGGAAATGAACCCAAGCTGCCACAACAAGAGTGCTGAATTTTAACCACTAGACCTCCAGGGCTGGTCATTTCTCCAAAAAAGACACACAAATGGCCAACAGGTATCTGAAAATGTGCTCAACATCACTAGTCATCAGGGAAATGCAAATCAAAACCACAATGAGATATCACCTCACACCTACTAGGGTGGCTATTATCAAAAAACCCTAAAGATAAATATTGGCAAGGATGTGGAGAAAAGGGAGCCCTGATACACTGCTGGTGGAAATGGAAATTGGTACAGCCACTATGGAAAACAGTATGAAGGCTCTCCAAAAAAGTAAAAATAAAACTACTATATGATCTAGCAATGCCACTTCCAGGTATTTATCCAAAAGAATTGAAATCAGGATCACAAAAGATACCTGCATTCTCACATTCACTGCAGCATATATTTTGCATATTGCATCACAATAGCCAAGATATGGAAGCCAGCTAAATGTCCATCAATGGATGAATGGATAAAGAAAATGTGGTATACATAATGGAATATCACTCAGCTTTTAAAAAGAAGGAAATCTTGCCATTTGCGATAACCTGGATGGACCTGGTGAACATTGTGCTGAGTGAAATAAGCCAGACAGAGAAAGACAAATACAGGACAATCTCACTTACATGTATAACTTACAATAGTCAAAATCATAGGAGAGTAGAATGCTGGTTTCCAGGGGCTGGTGGGAAGGCGGAAATGGAAGGTGATGGTCAAAGGGCACAAAGTTTCAGTTATGAGTAAATAATTTCTGGAGATCTACTATGCAGCATAGGTCCTATAGCTAACAATACTGTACTGTACACTTAAAATTCACTAAGAGGGTAGATTTTATGTTAAATGTTCCTACCACACACACAAAAATAATAATAAAAGGGGCAGGAACAAACTTCGAGAAGTGATAAATATGTCTATGGTCTTGATCGGGTGATAGTTTCAAACGTGTATACTTAGCCCCAAACTCAAGTTGTATACAGTAAAAATGTACAGCTTTTACATGCCAATCATTACTCAACAAAGTAATTTTTTTAAAGTAGTCTTTCTTTTCCTTTTACATTAATATTAGAGGGTCATAGCTTTCTTGGGCACATGTTCCAATGTCTCATGCTGTTGTAATTATAGAGTTAGTTCTAATATCTAAACTAAAGCTTTCCTTGAGTATATTCTTTTTGTTAAGAATACTTCTGTTTCTGTTTGTATTATTATAGTAATTCTTAGCTATCATAATAATATTAACAGACAGGCTATGAATTACCCCCCAAAATATGGTATACATGTATAATATGTAAAATGTTATATTTAACATCTTGTGCCTATAAAGTGAAAATTTTGCTATATACAAGAGGCCTTGATATTAAGTAAATACCTGATAGATGTGGATAAACATAAGCAATAAGGCAGGATCTGTTAAAATCACTGTCAGATGATGATGCCAGCTAAGATTTATCAAGTGCTTACAACACAACGGGCACTGCTTCACCAGCTTTCCATGCACTGATTCAGTAGATGTAGAAGACACCTTCTAGAGCAGGCACCATATTTTACAGATGAAGACACTGAAGCAGAGAGATCTAAGTAATGTCTCCAAAATGACACTGCCCATAAGTGGTAAAATCAGGATTCAACCCCAGGCAGTTTGCTTCCAGATCCATGCTCTTAACCAAAAAGAAATATTGCAAACTCAGAAGCATTAGCTGAGATTTCTTGTCCAGGTAGACGTGTTCTAACGCAATTGACATCTGATTCCTTTCAGTGAGCATCCTCCACAAACAGGAGACTATGATCTACCAATGTCATTCAGCTCTGATTCATTGTATAGTGATTATCTACGATACTGGTCTTGGTCGTCCAAGGGTCTTGACATGCAGCATGATGTGACTTCAAAATGAGCACACTAGATGGTCTGGAGACAATCTTTCATCACATAAAAAAAAACCTGCTTTAGAATATAAAAGACCCAAAGAAAGAATGGAGCCCTCCAACAAGACTATTTTAAATTTTATTCCATTTTTCCCCTCTATTTGCTGCACAAATTAATCTTCTGCCAACACTGGTGGATCTTTTATTCCATTGCCTCTGCACACATTCATCCATAGCAACTCCCTCCTGGAAATTCACATGTATCTTGATTCCCTCTTTGAAAAACCTAATTGAAATCCATTTCTTTTAGGATGTCATTGTCTGACAATGATTAGAGGAATGTAGTGGTTAAGTTTATAAGTGTAACATGAAATATAAAAATCAATCCTTTATTTGTCCTGGGAAGAATCATCCATCTTCCTCTATTATTTAGCCCATTCTTCTTAGTCTCATAATGTATATGCAGCATCTCCTCTTGAATCCGAGTTATTATGCATAAACACCTAAGGCTCAGAAGAGCTCTTGCAATTTTATTCCCATTTATTGTGTGCTTGAAGAAACAGAATCCTATCTGTAAGTAATCCTTTTAAAAAAATGGTTCTCTGATAAAGTTTGACATTTTGTAAAATTTACCAAGTATTATAGCTTAACACCTGCAGTGCCTATGCTGGAAACTCATTTTACAGTTTCAGAGGAAAAAGATTATGCTTCATTAAAAAAAGAGTACCATGCAAGATAAGCTACGATTTTAGCAACTGCCCTGGCACTATAACCTGGAAAGTCCCTGCTACCCGTATTCAGTGATCTGCACTGACAGTATCATGAACTTCCCTAATAAACTGGAGCATTCAGACAACTGCTAAAGCAATAAATAGCATTTATAAAGTCCAAAGTGACCACTCTCCTCCTCCCCCCTCATAAATTTCTATTAAGACCAAGGATATTTTCACAGCTTTATCTTTTACCAGTAAGCAAAACTCCAAGAACCTTGGCTGCAGGTCAGAGTTACCCAGGAAGATCTTAAAAATCTTGACACACAGATTTTGCCTCAGGTCAATTAAACCAGACACTCCAGGGGTGGCACCCAGGCAGCAGTATTTTCTAAAGCACCTGGGTGATTTCCATATGCGGGCCAGTATGAGAATCGATGTCTTAGAAATACAGGGAAAACATCAAGTTTCTGTTTGCATGGGGTAAGAACGAAAATGTCCAAACTCTGACAGCTTTGCTCATCTGTACTACAATGCATCTGTGAACCCAATTTTGAAGGGCCTCCAGCCAAATGAAGTTGTTATGATTGAGACATGGAGATTAACCCCTAAGGGAAAAAGAGTAACGAGCCAGCATATGTCTCTAATAATTCAAGGAGAAAGAAGAGGAACGAGGAGGTATATCTTGGAATTGCCAGGAAGTGTATTTTAAAAATTCACATGCCTGTGGTTCTTTACTTCATCCATATCCCTCTAGATTCTGACAAGGATTTCCAGAATAGGAGATAGGTCAGGTGTCTGTTTTGGGTAACGTCATTATCCCATTCTTTGTTTAGATGTGGAAAGGAACACAAAAGTGTTTTATTTCTCATCTTCCATAGATTTAGGCATTTTATTTTTATTGACTTTTGGCTTTTCCCTTAGAGGTGTGTCCTACTCACTCCCAAATTAAGAGTTTGTATAATCAGAAGTTTTAAAAAATGGAATGAAAATGACTATCCTTACCTTCCCTGACTTTGGTTCCTCCAAGAACTATTGCAGATATGCCAACAGATGAAGACAGAAGCCAAATACAGATATTGATGATCTTTGCCTTCAAGGGTGTGCGGAAGTCCAAAGCCTTGACAGGGTGGCACACAGCAATGTATCGGTCCACACTCATCATGGTCAAGGTGAATATGCTGGTAAACATGTTATAGTAGTCAATGGAAATGACTATCTTGCACAGCACATCCCCAAATGGCCAGGAATTCATCAGATAGACCGTGCTCTGGAAGGGCATGGTTGTAGTAACTAAAGCATCTGCCAAAGCCAGGTTAAATATATAAATGTTAGTTGCTGTCTTCATCTTCGTGTATCTAAAAGACAAGAAATAAGATCAGTTCTCTCCATCTTCAAGTCAAATCCATGAGGTGAATGTGTTTGTGACAGCCTTTGGACTGTTTTTCATTCACATATTCTTCACACATTTATTGAGTGTCTAATATATGAAAGGACTGTTCTAGACACAATGGGTAGAAGAAAAATGGGCAAAAATCTCTGACTTTATTTAGGTTTTTTTTCTCGTGCTTTGCTCAAAAAATATTTAAATAAAAATGAAAACAGCATAGATAGATAAATAGATAAATACACATATACATCTTTTCAACAGATTTGCATATAATACAGGTCTTTATTTTGTGGTTGAAAATTCATTTTAATCCTACCCCGAGTTGCTTGGCTTTAAGCATTTTTTCTAAATACTTTATTCTTTTTCTTTCACTATGTAAAACAAAGACAAAACACATTCAGTTCTCTTCACGGTGACTTTGAGAAATCAATCATTGTAATTACAACGTCTTTTGAAGATGCAAAATAGTTTTCATTTTTTAAATACATCCAATTTCAATGACTAAAACACAGTAAAGTTTGTTGATTGTTGTTTGCAATGTGCCACTAGTTTTTCATTTTAAATGCCTTACATAGATAAAGCAGGCTGTGTTCTTGCCTTATACATGTCATAGCACTAAATGTAATCTGGTATAATAGGTGAGAAATAATTGTTTTCTTCTTTACTCTTATCTTGAGAGACTTTTAAAGCACATAATTTGTTTCATCTTTCAATGAGGAGATAGTAATTTTCAAAGTCAGAAAGATTGCCTTTAAGCCAAAATTATTCTTTGCATTATAACATGAAGATGTTTAGAACAATTGCATTTTCAACTAAAACTGAAGAGGATTGTTTTATTTAGAGAACGCTTCCTCAAGGATCTACGGGGCATGAAACGTTTCAAACTATATCCCCAGCTTTTCAGAGTCAACTGCTAAGATATGTTAGAAAAATTCACATGTTAGTACATTCTACACACCTCAGATTTATAGACCACATCACAATTAATTCAGCCATGCGCCATATTCCTTCAAGGAGCTTCAATGCTACGGCCTTGACTTTTATTAAAGGTCATCTATAAGGAGCTGTCTTATGGAAAACTACTTCTGCTTTGGCTATAAAATCAATATCAATAGTATTTATTGATTATTACATTGGTATCTTTCAATACACAAATTTCTACATGAGAAACTTCTGACATGACGTGATAGTACAGCCTTGGCTCCCCTTGGAGGCAGCGTGGTATAATGTGAAGTCAAACAGTACTGAGTCTGAACTCAGTACATGACTTTTGCGAGTTTCAGTTCCTGTTAAAGATAATACAACTGAACCAGCAGTACATGAGACAAAGACAGTAGATGACCTGACTCAAAATACCTGACACAGGATCACACTTCACTCTCAGCATCCCACTGCCTCCCACACCAATTTTCCCCTGCTCTCTTCTCTTCTTGTTAAGAAAAAGATTTGTCTGTGTTTTGATGAAGGCATTGTAAAGACTGGTACTGGAGTCGGGATCTGTTGGTTTCCATTCTGATGTCTGTTAACTAAACAGTACTTTAATCTGGAGCATGAGGACTTTATTTAAAAATATGTTTTGTCTTTACAGTTTTTACTCAAATATCATTAAAGGACCTGTAAGTTTTAGAAAGTGATCGAATGTACATGGCCAATGCTCAAAGCATAGGCTTTATGAAGACACATAACTAAGCAAGTACACTTACCAAGACAAAGCCAAATGCTTTTTTGTTTTTAAGGTATACTTTTTTTTGGTGAGGAAGATTGGCCCTAAACTAACATCTGTTGCCAATCTTCCTCTTCCCCTCCACCCACCAAAGCCCCAGTACATAGCTATATATCAGAGTTATGAGTCCTTCTAGTTCTTCTATGTGGGATGCCACCACAGCATGGCTTGATGAGCAATGTGTAGATCTGCGCCCAGGATCCGAACTGGTGAACCCCGGCCTGCTGAAGTGGAGCACACAAACTTAACCACTCAGCTATGGGGCCGGCCCCCAAATCCTTCTAATGAGCAAGACTGAAATGCTGTTTAACTAGTGTCTTTTTAAAAATATGGACTTACGTTTCAAAATGCCTCTTATAAGTCAACATCCTATTCTTTCAACATTTTCTCTTCGAATCCCTGATATTAGCAAGGATTTCAGCAGGCAATATCTTTGACTTCTACTCTCATATTTTGTGACTTTGATATTCTCCTTTTTCTTTATGAAGTTAGACTGATGTTCTCTGCCTTATAGTTAGGTAGACCCGGATTATAGTCCTTATATTTCCCTACCACTGACAGACTTTGAAGAGGTCACTAAAAATCCTAAGCTTCAGTTTCCCAACTATAAAATGGGAAATGCAATGCTTATTTTCTTAGAGCTCCTGAGATAATTAATGAAATGCACCTGATCAGGAGAATATGTCTAACTTAATTCATCTTCTCCAACTCCTCTTCTCCCTCTTATATGGGTGGAAGCCACCAGTTGCCATGGGAAGCAGAGAAGAAGGTAGTTTCTAGTTAACACCCATAGTAGTATTTACCCAATTCAGCTTCAATATAAAAGACAAGAGTAAAAATGAAGCCTGGGATCTTACATGCTAAAAGAACATGAATGGAATGATATGTGAGTTCCAATAAAATATAATATGCATCTTTATCATAAAATGTTGAGTTGTAACCTGCTCTTAGTTTTTCAAAATTATTTATAACAAATATATATAAGAAATTGCTTAAGGTTTGAACTTATATAGAACTCAAATCCTTTCATCGATCTCAGAATAAGAGAGATCAGTACCCACAACAAAAATGTCTACAAATTGTGTTAATTGTAGCAAAAGTCTCTGCTCCCAGAGAAATAAGCTCTGCCCAGATCACTTATATAGGAGCTACCACTGCTACCATCCCCAAGGCTCAGGAGACATCCACCAGGGACCTAGAAAGGTGTCTGCACTCTCCTGCCATGAGACTCCTGGATTTGCCAACATCCCAATATCATGGCATCACCCCCCTGTCTTGAAATGGTTCATGTTAATGACAATAATCATAACAAGCATTTATTTCAAAACACTCTGTGTCAGGCACTCTGCTGTACATTCCCCATGCTTTATCACTTTTAGTCCTCACAGCAACTCTGTGTGGTAGACATCAGTATCCCTATTCAATAGATAAGGTTCCTGAGAATCACAGGAGTTATATAAATTTCTCAAAGTAAAACAGTTATAAAAAGCATCACAAGCATTCAACCCAAGGGGTTTGATCCCAGTACCTGCATTCTTACATCTCCCCAGCACTTTTTAATTTACAAAACCCAGTATTTTGACTTCCATGTACGTTACTTGATTCTCACACCTGCCCTTTGAGCTTACCCAGGAGATTTATGTATTTTCCCTAATATAGCTGAGGAAAGTTGGACTCAGGTGAGCAAATGATTTATCTAATGTCAGCAGAGGCAGGAGATCAGTGGGAGGATCCAGAAAGGGCAGCAGGACAAGGCCCCTCTTCCAGGGTTCTGGAAGACCTTATAAATCTACAACACTGAAAAGGAGAACTAAACAAGTATAATTAAAAGTAATAAACAAACTATGAGTTCAAGAAATATTTACTAACAGTCTGTTTTATACTACACTGGACTGGATCCTGTGAACACGTGATTATAAGACAAGACCCTCACCCTCAGACAGTATGGTTGAGCACTTGGGTATTGTTCATATTTAGCCAAAGTGAAACGGCAGTTAGTCCTTTCAGTCATTGTATATCCACTGGTGAAAAAAAAAAGTAAGCTTTCTTACTATGATAGGATATGAAATTATTTTCCATTTCATCCAGACTGCTTTACAAAAATTCACAAGTATTTCAAGTAAAATGGCACCATCTGTGTGCAAAGTTTTGGCTTGTATGGAGAAGCTGGAGGTGGGCTGGCAGCGAGTGGTTGCACTTTTTAGGGTACACACTGTAGGAACATATGGCACTAAAAGAGCAAAGTCTGTGGGCCGTCCTCACCAAACTTGACAATGTTACAAATCCAGAAACAACAGTACGGTGTACTAGGCAGGATGCATAGGGCAAGCCAGGAAGACGGGTCAAATAGGGTACTCAGGGTATTCATGAGGAAGGTCACTGCTGGGCAACATGGCGGAGGGTTTCTCTGGGAGGTAGAAATGTTTGCCATCACACCTTAACTCAACACCCTCCCAGTGTAGTTCTCTTGACAGAGAATTGAGCAGTGGCTTCTAAATTAGCAATCATAAATGCCTGTGTGATGGCGAGGGGAACAAAGTTTTCTGCTGAGCTATCAGGAACCAGTATCACCAGGAAGGGTTTCTGGGAGAGTGTAGCACTTTCAACGCAAGAAATGAGGCACTAGCAGGAGGAACAGTGACCTTGTGGCACAGTGGTCTCAGGGCTTCTTGTCCTTTCCATGTGCTTGCTGTGCTCAGACAATATGCAGGTAGAAGAGACCATTCCTGGATTATTAGCATCTCTTGCTATTGAGATGAACTGCCCAAGTGGCTTCTTTTTTTTTTTTGGCTGGGTATAGTGTACTTTATTGATGGTACATGACAAGGTAGGGCTCCCCAAGCCCCTCCCCTTCTTCAGGGGGTCTGAGATGGAAACTGTGGAGGTCAGGAGACTCTCAATATGTTAGGGGATCAAGTTGAGGCAAGCACTCCCAGCAGCTGAGGGCCTTTCTCCTTCTCTCGCTGGGTGATTGGTGGTCCAGGGGGCTCTTACTCCTTGGAGGCCATGTGGGCCATAAGGTCCACCACCTTATTGCTGTAGCCAAATTCATTGTCATACCAGGAAATGAGCTTGACAAAGTGGTCATTGAGGGCAATGCCAGCCCCAGCATCGAAGGTGGAAGAGTGGGTGTCACTGTTAAAATCGCAGGAGACAACCTGGTCCTCAGTGTAGCCCAGGATGCCCTTGAGGGGGCCCTCTGATGCTTGCTTCACCACCTTCTTGATCTCATCGTATTTGGCAGC